AGAGAGAGAGAGAGAGAGCACGAATATAATATTGATAGACCAAAATAGCCATAAAATATTAAACAGAAGAACTCATAGGGAAATGACATAACTGAAATAACCTATTTTTTAAACTACAATACCTTCTATGTTAACTTTTTTAATATTTAAAATTTTAAAATTAGTAAAATTTTGTCTATTAAAAATATGTAAGGAGGTTTAATAAAATCAATTTCATAAGAATCCTCCGTATTGGCAATACATTCCTACTCCATAATGTCCAATATCAAGAAAAGATAAAAGTAATGTTAAATTGACTTAATAAAACATTGAAATTGACCAAAAACATATCCCCACAATATATTTTTATATTATATTTGAACTTTTTTCCAACTCAAATAATGTTTTTTCTTATCTATTTTTCGTGTAACATTAAAAAATATACCAATTATTAAACAACAACTAAGAAAATATTTAAGAATATAAAGTGAGAAAGATAAAGAAAAATGGTTGGTAAGAGTCAATATCACTAATGATTCTACAAATATAAAGATCTAAAAGCAAAATGTCATATCGATCTTTTTACTATTTGAAAATAAAATTTATGGTGGGTAAAACTATAATTAAGATTAAATATTCAAAACAAGAGATGAACTAATATTAAGAATCTAATCAACATAAAATAAATTATTTTTTATGTTAAGAACAAATAATTAAATCTTTCAATTAATTATTTAGCAAGAGAATTCAATTCAATTATTTTTAAATTCATTATATGAGTAAAAATATTTTTCAAGTTAAAAAAAATATCTTAGGGTACATAAATTTATTCCATAAAAAGAGTGTTAGAGATTAAAAAAACTAGGTCAAAAAGTAGAAAAGGTTAGTATAGTATTAAGAATCAAACAGTCATACAAGTGTCCGAGGAAGCACAATCAAACCTAAATTTTGAACAAGAACAATCTTTCAAGACTATATAATAAAGAGTCGACTTTACTACAGCGAAATCATCCTTTGTAGATGCCTCTGGCGGAATCGAAATAATTTTTCTATATCGTGCATTATTTGTAAATATCAGATCAAGAGGCATGGTACTGTTAGCAATATTAACAAATGATATACCAACAACGATTTTATTATGAGGTCACTCACTTTAGACTTGATATACCTCTTCAAACAACTGAAATAACCATTACAAATATAACAAAGCAGAGCGGTGGTGCTAAATTTAAAAAATATATACATAAAAGGCCAAATACATATACAGACCATTAAACTTGGCCTAATTTTTTATTTTGGCACTTTAACTAAGCCTTGTTACATTTTGGCCCTCCAACCCCATTTTTTTATTCCACTTTGACACAAAAAATTTCTTCCAGGTAAAAATGCAGCGCGTGCAAATACCCAGCTGCTACCCACTCCCCCCCGCAAAATTTTTTTTTTTTTTTTTGTAATTTCAAATTATTATTTTTTTCGTTTTTTCTGCCCACATCCCGAGGAAAAAATATTTTTTTATATATTTTCAGTAACAACTATGAGTTCAACTGAACCCATAACTTTCGACGAGGAGTAAAAATTTGTATGTAAAAATTCATTAAAATTGTAAGAAAAAAAATAGATATAAACCCATAACATTTAAAATATAATGGGTTCTGTTGTTCCACTTTGACACAAAATTTTTTATCCAAGATAAAAATACAGCGCGGACAAATANACTAAACCCATAACTTTCAACGCGGAGTAAAAATTTGTATGTAAAAATTCATTAAAATTGAAAAAAATATATATACAAAACCCATAACTTTAAAAATATAATGGGTTCAATGTTAAAAATATTAAAATTGAATCCATAGGATTTAAATTTTGGATTCGCCTCTACGTTGGGAGTATGAAATTTGGCTTAAAAAATGGCTCTCACACGCCTACAAGGGTGAGGCAAATCACACATGGAATCTAGTCAGCTTTTGTGTCAAAGTGGAACAAAATAAATGGGGTTGGAGGGCCAAAATGGAACAAGGCTGAGTTAAAGTGCCAAAATAAAAAATTGGGCCAAGTTTAATGGACTGTATATGTATTTGGCCTACATAAAATATCAAATTTTACGGAGAGACCATAGGTTCACGTGCCCCATAATCTCCCATATTTAGCCGCCTCTGCTATTAGTACTTGCATTAGGTTAGATTGTTTGTATCACACCCTTGGAGTGCGGCCATTTTCCGAACCCTGCATGAACTCAGGATACCTTGTTTACCTGACTGCCACATATATAAATTATTCGTGTGATTTGATATGAACATGTTTCTAAATTTGTAAAAACGAACAAAAAGGAACTCTTGGGGCCAACAAAAGAAAAAAAAAACAGAAAAGAGAGGACTTGTTAGCAAATAACGAAGCTGATTTTGATCCTCACTTAGCTGTTACTATCAGGTTGTATTTAACTCAATTCAGTAAGTCCATTTTGTCTCCATCTCCGACGATATCGCCTTTTTCCGACGATCGGCGATTGAAGGCATGGATTCCGAAGCTGATTTTGATCCTCCTCCGTCTTTTGATAACGTGGTACATTTTCTACATATCTCACTTTTTTTTCCTAATTTCTTTCATTTTTGTTTTATTTCTCACCAGATCTGACTTTATACGTATGAATTTGTTATTTTTGAGGTGTGATCTGTCAATTTTGTTAGTTAGATATCATTAATTTCATTTTTTTTCTGAATTGGAGGTGTTATGGTTCGAATGTTTTTAATTTGTTGAAATTTTGTGAACGAATATGTAAACAGTCATTGTTAATGTCGGAATTGGTGAGGAATTTAGAGAACTGTAGATTTATTCATTTGGATATGCATTGATATGTATGAATTTTTGTTTTCCGGATGTGATCTGTCACTTATGTTAGCTAGATATATCATTTATTCCCTGTTTATTTGGAGATGAAAGTGTTGTGTGGTTCGAGTTTATGTTAAATTTGTTTCGTGATAAGAATATGTAAACAGCATTGTTAAAGTTTTGGCGTTGGTAATATAGAATGTAGAGAACCGTAGATTTATGTATTTGGATCTGCAGGAGGTTGTGTTGAAGTGCCACTTTTCTGTTTTGGACTGGGGTTTATTGCAGGAGTATTTGCTCTGTATTTTTATTGTTCAATTTTTTTTCAAAACAAAGCCAAAAGTGTTTGAGATGATTTGGTACGAGATGATTTTAATGGAGTAATGTATGTGGCCCGTGAGGTTCTTCCTTGTTTTTCTCAGATCAGCTTCTGCGTATGTTTAGCCACCAAAACAGCTGTAAAGCCCAATTGGCAATTGATTCAGCTGCAAAACATGTCTAACTACATAATTAATGAGTTTCTATATAGCTAGTTTCTGATTTACTCTCTTTAAACTATTTCTATTACCTTCTATGCCAAGATGAAGCAGATCCGGTCTTGTAAATTTTACTCTTCGAAGACCTCCATGGTTGGCTTATGTATTGGTATGCTGGTGTCCCGATCTTTATTCTTTTGACAATTTTGTGATCGTGTTTTAATTTTACTGCTACTGCTGTTACCAGAAGAATCAATATACGACATGTTGGGCTCATTTATCTGAAATATACGCAATTAAAATCTGTGTCTCCTTAGAAAGATGTGAAGTTTTCTTTAGAAGTTGGATTTAGATAATATGTTACTCATGGATGGTAGAAGAATACTTTGTGGCCTTTTAATTCTTTTCTGTATCTTTATGAACTCTCTGTCCTTTCCTAATCACAGACGTGGGTTTAGACACATATTTACCCTTGTTCTCTGTTGAAGCAGAAGAATATGGCCAAGGATGTTGAAGTGAAAGGATTCAACCCAGGATTAATTGTCTTAACTGTTGTTGGTGGACTCGTGTTGGCATTCCTAATCGGAAACTATGTGCTTTACATGTATGCACAAAAAACCCTTCCTCCAAAGAAAAAGAAGCCAATCTCCAAGAAGAAGATGAAGAGGGAAAGACTGAAGCAAGGTGTTTCGGCACCTGGAGAATAGATATACTAGACACATCGGGGTTATTCCCCTTGTTCATCTGAGAAGACTATGTTAGTTCATATCCAGCGGCAGTGTCAAATAGATGGTTGTTAATGTTACCAATTTGCCATCATCATAGTTAGAACTTAAACTTTAGTATATGCTTCTATTTTTCTGTTAGCTGACTGAGAAGTTGTTTTCTTGCGAGTTACTGAATCATCTATCTTCTTCCAGTAGAACTAGTCTTGCTTTTCGTTTTTCCTGTTTGGTGATATCAGAACTTCTAGGTAGGTTTATGCTTTACTACGTCTTTCTTGGGTTGCATAATTGTCAAAGTTGTTGATTTTAGCCCTTGAATGAATATTTTGGCAGTGGATAAATATTGCTAGGATCGTAACTGGGCCGTTACTTTTCATATTATATGAGGTAGTTTGACTCGACACGGAGTATAAGAAAAAAGAAAAGACTTTTGAAACTTGAGGTCTTAAAAGCTTAAGGGGTAAAAAGTTTGTGGGGCCATGACATTTGTGTGGCTATAAAAGTTTTTCATTAAGGGTAAATGGGTAAAATGAAAGAGTTTAAAGTTGAATTATTTCCAAACTAAAAAGGAAAGTACCTCATGAAATGGAGGGAGCATTGTTTTTAGTTAGAGTAGATGATTACGGGAAAGTAAAAAAGCTCGAGTTATAGTCATTGTTGAACATTTATTTCCCTGGTGTTTAGATGGTAGAAGAAGAGGCAGTTCCTGCTTGCACAAGTATTACCATCCAAGGTGTAAACAGGTCAATATTTTCGCTGTTTCGATTTGGCCTATATTGTAGTGGGGTGATGAACTACTTTTGTGCCAAAGGTCTAGTTGGAAATGAATTTCAGATGGTGCATACTTCAACCGCTCTTCTGGTCAAGATTCCAATCTCTCTGGAAATTGATTTAGGGCTGTGGGATTGTCTTGATTTACGACGTGAATGGGCAAATGTTGTTTCCCTTTAGTGTTTAATTTCCATTTCTATTTCTGTTGTCAACTTAGTTGCCTCTCTTTTATGTACATTGTACCTTAATGATGCTTGGCACTAGGCAAGATTCATGCTTTGGGTAGGTCTTATTTGATTACATTAGTTTCTGCTATGGTTAACTTGATCTCTGAAAAGCTCCTAGCTCTCTACTTTTATTATGTGCTGATTTCTTATTTAACCTGAAAAAGTGAAGCTTTGACCAAAATGATGCCTCCTATATATCTACAAATTGCGCTTCACCCTTTAACCAAAATGGCCCTTCATATAAAAGCATAGGTGATCAAGGAGGTTAAACTTAGCAATCATCTCTATGTTAAGCCATAGTTGCCAAAAAGCAATTACTGCATTTGGGAGTTGGGAACACTAAATTCCCATAGAAGTACGCCACCAAATAAATTTATCATTTTAATGGAACGATGAAACGTATAAAGTCGTCCACTGTCCTGTGTCGGCAGTCTGAAAATATATTGCGTTAAAGACCCTACAAAATTTAGACTAGACATATTGGTCCAAGTACAAATTACATGGATTTAAGATATAATTCAATCAGATTTCTCAACGTCCATACGGTAGTCATGCTATCATAATACCCAAGTTCATGCCATGTAGAAAGTTATGCTTACTCAAATTCAACGTCCATTGGGTGCTTAAACATCCTTATTTTTTTTAACACAAACACTATTTTTATATTGAAAACTAGTAATAACATACAAAGATATTGATTGACCATCCAATCTTAAAGATTAATTCTAGATTAAAGACAATTGAGCACCTAAGACTTGAAATTCTGAATTTGCCACAAGCTGAACGATAAGATAATGATGCACGCCAGGCGACACGAAAATAATTTAATAAACCATTTATTTGATACGATTAAATCAAGATATTGTCCGTGATCAAGCTCTTGAGTCCAAATCATCTATATTTGTAAAGAGAAAATTAAACGAGACTCTTTGAATTTAGTGATATTCTAAGGATTATAACGTTTATTTCCTTAAAATCAGCTGTTCGTTTTTTAGTACCATCCTCCTGTGGAAATATAGGGTGCAATTATTTGCAAAAATATATAAAGCTAATGTGATCCGGCCCTTCCTTGAACAATCGAACTCCAAACATATCAGGAAATAAGTGATGGACTGCCCTTTCTATAATTTTCACAGAACCCGCTATTTCTTATGTTTGTTTGAACCATATAAATAATACTATATCGATATCGAAGAAGAATTAAGCTCGCGAAGATTAAGAAAACAAAATGTATCATAGTACGGCGTTCTTTCCTGTCTTTGCCTTTCAAGATATTGCGTAGCCGAGAGTGTTATGTAAAAAAGATCAAGGGGATCCTATCCTAAAGGAGGAGGAGTAAGAGCCAGCTTTAGGGATGGAATCAAACGATTACGAGATAAACAATGAGATAAAGGAGAGCATAAGGACATAACATTGCAGTGGCCCAGAGCTCTTAGAAGTTTTTGCCCTTCCATGCTTCAAACGTGGAACAAAAGAATGAACTAGGAAAAAGAAACTTAAAAAGTAGTTCAAAATCAATGAACCATTAAAAAGCCTATATGAGAATGCAAAATCAACCAATTTGGGATGGATCCCAGGTTTTCTTTTTCATATGCCATTTATTCTTGAAAACATATGAACTGACAAACTGATCATAACCAGATTTAGGGACATGGGAAAGTTTAAGATACTATATTCCACATCTCTTAACTCTATACAGTGCAACACAAAGATTATAGCAGAATCAATCTCTTTTAAGGTATACATTATAAACACACCACATACAGACAGGTCTTAAGTTTTACAAAACAGGCGAAACTATTAATAAGTCAAGAAATATAACTGCAGAAAGCTTTGAGAAACTGGATACAAATCAAACCAGGTTGGAAACGGATGGACTCTAAAGCATTATACTTGTGCTTAGCGGCCCATGGTCTGGTCACCCGGGGGGATCATAACGACCACTTGTTGGGCATTAAACCCAGGATGAGGGAGCCTACGACGAAGCTCACGACCTTCCTGGCAAAGAGCACAAGGGTGGCAGAAGAAATGAGTTGCAAAGTCACAAGCTGACTCACATTGCTCGCGCTGCACCTCATCCTCAACAAAGCTCCCACAGCAGCCGCAAGACCTGTTGAGTGCCTCGCAGCTCCCCTGTAGAGGAAATAAATTGTATAACAGGGATAAAACTTCTAATACTGTTAATACAACCATTAGGAGGAAATTGAAATAATAGCAAGAAAATCCCTCATCCGATAAAAATGAAATGATGCAGAAACAGCAAGAAGAAACAAAAGCTAGACGATGTTAGTAGGAAATACAGCTGATAGCCAGTTCGCATATCTTAGGCAGAAATAAAGCCGAATTAATCACAATTAAGAAGTACACTGTAAAGTTTACAAGCTTTAATCCAAAACTTAAAGAGATGAACTTCAGATGGTTTTGAAGACACTATCTGTACACCTAGTTGTTTGATGAAGATGACTATCAATTTATGGCATTTTGATCTACTATCATTTTCACATCCTACTGTAAAAATGCGTAAGTAATCAACAGATAAGAAAAAAGAGAACATAAGAACGTATAATTACATTTTCTCTTATCTCCTTTTCCGTAAGTACATAAGCAGAACATTTTTTTCAAACCTCTACCTTCTTCAAAAAAAAAAATTTTGGGGGTATGAATCTTTTCAAATCTACCACAACTTGTTTGGGACAGAGGCGCAGTTATAATCTCTTCAAATCTCTATCTTTATGCGAAGAGAGTTCAAGATCAAGTATCCGCGCCCCAAGCTTAACCAAAAGACACATACATCCAAATGAAATATTACATACAGAGAACTTACTGATTCTTAAGTCATGTCGCCAGTTGACATGAATGAACTATGTCTGAATCACTTTATCTTTTTAAATATTTTTTATAGGGATATCTGTACCACTTTATCTTTTAAATTCAACCACAAATAACAATCTCCAGTATACAGTGTGTTAAAAATACACTTCAAGCGGCCCTAAACTACCAGTTTGAAAGTATTTACACAAAAAACCTATACACGCGTATAGGACCAAAGGGTACAGTGAACAAATTCCATATGAGACTTCTTAAAATGGATGTTTTGCTTTGATACGGAAAATACATACAGAAGAAGAGCAGTGATATGAAGCACAGTAATTGGAAAAGAAGAAATGCATTTGTGCCCAAAAGACCATGACATAGAATGAGCATTAGTAAAGCACCTGCAGAAAGGTAAAATTTAAGAAAGACAGCCTACCTCCAGATTAAACTTTCGGCGTATAGCTGTACGAGTGGGATATGTAAAGCAGGGTGCCACACAGTTCGAGCCAAAAAAGGATTGTCCAAGCATGTAGAGGCCAGTGTAAAGCAAGCAGTGATTGGCAAAAGTCCCAGGAGCAGAGCCAAGTCTCTCAGCATTGCTCCCGTAAAGCACACACGGGGCCATCCCTAGTAAACCTGCAGAAAGAAAAGTATGTCTGGAGCATCAACAGAAAAAACCATATTGCAAAATATACCATCAAGACACAAGAACGAGTATGCGTGCGTCTTGCAAAGGGAGGACCCTATGCAGATTTGCAAGTGAATTCAAACAAATTACATCAAAACAAATTATACCTTGAAAAAAGTGTTTTTTTTCTTTTGACATCAATAATCGATAAACATCGTTCGAAATGTGGAGATCGGTGTCTGTGCAAGATGCATATGACTAGAATATTAATATAACTTCGAACATGATGCAGCAGTTGCATTTTTCGCAAATGGACATTATAGTGGGAACTCTTGAACAACAACAAAGACTTTGGCAAATACAATTTAAAGAATAAAGTGTTCCAGCTAATTCCACCTTAGTATAGCAATTATCTCACTACATCAGAAGAAGTTGATAGAAAAATACATCAGAAGAAGCAAAAACGAATTAGGAGTAGGAATTTTGAGCAACAAATTTCGAAGTCCTAGCCTAGCTATTGAAGGAAAATACAATTCCCCATCTACAATTATCATCAATGTTCATACATTTGCATACACACTACCTTCCCCAGACCCCACTTGTGGGATTCTACTGGGTACGTTATTGTTGTTGTTGTTGTCCATAAATTTGCTTGCTAGTTCTTTTTCTCATGAAATTTAGGAGCATATTAGCTCATAGCACGCATATACTGGGCGAGATCATTCAATAAACACAGTCAAGGGGGACAGTAAGTGATTTTAGCAAAGGCTGAACTTTACTTAAGATTGCAATTCAACACAGTCAGGGGGGCCAATAAGTGATTTTAGCAAAGGCTGGACGTAACTTAAGATTGCAATTCAACATCTGAATTAAAATTTCTAAACCGATACTTCATCACCAAGAGACCAACATACCCTAACATCCATCTCGCACAGTTTCATCAACTCTTAGAATATATGTATTGCTACATAGAGTTAAGATATTCATTGACTAATAAGGTATTTGGGAAAAAAGGTCATGAAAAGAGCGGAATGAGTACAACAATTCATATAGTCGACCCAACTAACTTGCAACTGAGGGGTGGTTTGATTGATGGGTTATTTCATGGATGGTCACCCAAATTTCACTTTATTACACCAACGTCATTAAACTTTTTTTCTGTAATGAAAAATCCATCAATTTTACCAAGTATCGTGAAAGCTACTAAACAAGTTTTTGTAAAGAAAGTCATTCAACTTTGCTAGAATATCACAGAAGGTTACTAAGAGAACAAAAGAGATATTTCTATGATATTAGGGCAAAGTTGAATAACTTTTTTATTTAAAAAATTTATTTAGTATAAACCTTGGACCTAATTCAGCCCCAAAAGCTAGCTCATGAGGTAAGAATTGTTCAAAACACAAGAGTCCAATTACCCATCCCACAAATGCTGTGGAACTATTAACATCCCCTCGCTCGCCAGCCAACTGGAGCGTGAACAACATAATATCAGGGCCCAACATAAGATTAAACAAGAACTGGGATGGGCATATCTCTGATATCATGTAAAGAATAGACTTTGGGCTTAATTCAACTCTAAAGGCCAACTCATGAGTTAAAGATTGTCCAAGACCATATTAAGAGTCAAGTGTCCATCCAAAAAACAATATGGGACTACTAAAAGATACTTAGAAAAACTTGAATGACTTTTAGGTTACAAAAAATAGTTTAGTGAACTTCTCTCAAAAAGAGTAAATTTGAGTGATCATCCCTGAAATTATACTTTGAGTGATTGACTATACAGTGATCATCCACAAATTCTGATCCAAAAGAGAGACGTTTAATCCAACATAGCACATATAAGGAAAAAGAATTCAATCAATCAACTGTGCCTTAATACTAAGTAACTAAACTAATTTCAGTCGCTAAGATTAAACACAAAAAAAGAAAAAAACCAATCAGAAAAGAAAACTCACAAACTTCAATATCACTGCTGCAGAATTCATCATTCCTGCCAAAACAAGCGCAAAGGCCAGAATCCCACTGCCTCCTATTGGTCTCACCGACGACGCCATGGCCCATAGGAAGCCCATCAGCAGTCCACCCCATCGGAAAAGCGGCTGGGATTGCGCCGGCAGCAGAAGAAATAACGCGTTTATTGGGCTTTTTCAACTCATCTTTCACCTCAGGGGATAAAAGAGGGTTTGATTCTTCGTTATTGGCCATTGGCTATACTCAACAACAACTACAGGAGAACGAAAAGGGGTTTGATGAAATCAAGCAAATTGAGGGATCTGAATTTCTGAAAGAAGGTGAAAATTTGTGTATATCTGTAATATGGACACTGTACACAGCGACGTACGAGAAAAAAAGTTCAACCTCTGTAATCCGCGTGGAATTGGTAGTTGCTTATACTGCTAAGTTTTATTTTTTTCAATAATCATTGAAATTGTCAACTTTTGACCTTATACTTTTATCGATTAAATTTTTTTTTATACGTTAAAGCTCTTAAATTTTGAGTCAATTAAAAAATAACTATAGATAATTATCCATAAATATTAAAATTAATAGGGAGAACTTCAAAACCAGTCAGATTTACGAGGGGCATTTGCATCTATACCCGTTTTTTGGATCACGTTTTAACTTATGTCCGCTTTGTAAAAAAATTGCAAACGTACTCACTTTTTCACGTAACTTCAGCATACGGGGCTAAAGTAGCAAAGGCAATCACGCAAAACTTCAGCATTCTAGTAGACGGGCCTGAAGTAGCAAGTGTGCTGAACCAAGTGTGTTGAAGTTTTTATTTGTAATTGTTGAACTTAAGCATAGTAGCTGAAGTTTTGTTCTCTATTTGCTGAAGTTTTTGTTTGTAATTGCTAAACTTAAGCATAGTAGCTGAAATTTTGTTCTCTATTTGCTGAAGTTTTTTTTTTGTAATTGCACTAAATAAGCTGAAATTTTTTGTCCTAGATTCATTAGTTTTGTCATTGAGCTTTTTCAAAAACTTCAGCAGAAGATGATGAAGTTATTTAGTTCATTTATAAAAACTTCAGCACTAAATAAGCTGAAGTTTTCTTGTCCTGGATATGCTTTTTCAAAAACTTCAGCAGAAGATGCTGAAGTTATTTAGTTCATTTGTAAAAACTTCAGCACTAAAAGCTGAAGTTTTTTTTGTCTTGGATTCATTAGTTTTGTCATAAATCTTTTTCAAAAACTTCAGCAGAAGATGCTGAAGTTATTTAGTTCATTTGTAAAAATTTCAGCACTATATAAGCTGAAGTTTTTGAAAAAGTTTTCTAACATACTAGATAAATAATCAGATTGCCAACAGTATCGAAATCGTAAATTTTGGAAACAATAAACGTGAAAAGAACAGAATTATCATTGTCTACTAACTTATGTACGTGGAAATATTCACAAATCATTGTCTACCAACTTACGTAATTATTTATAATTTATTTTTAAATAATCTGATAAACATATTTATGGCAATAATCCCATGAACTGAAGTTTTATAGCAGCACCAACAGCAACAGAAGAAAGAAGAAGAAAACGAAGGAGGAAAAGGTGGAGGAGGAGAAGAAATGGAGCTAAAGTTGTTTAAAAAGTGGGTACAAGTTAAAACATTTTTAAAAAAATGGGTATATGTTAAATGGGGGCGACCAAATAGGGCGCTCCGTGCGATTTTTACGATTTACAAGTGATCATTCAAAAATAATCACAGTTTCAAAAGTAATCGAAATTTAGCCACTTTTCATGTAAAGATAAATCTGAATGAAAACACTGTTCAAAATCCGAAAAAATACTCCAGTATAATATACTGGAGTTCCAATATACTTATGTTGGAACTCCAGTATATTATACTGGAGTTCCAGTATAATATATCGGTCCAACATAATATATTGGAGATTGGATCACTGGTGTTCCAATCTCTAATATATTATATAGGAACTTTCCGCGTGTTGGAGTTTCAGCATAATATGCTGGAAGTTCATACATAGGTACACCGATCTCTAGTATATTATGCTGGAACTTTTCGTGTTGCAGTAAAATAGTGGTTATTTTTCAATGATTTTATAAACGCTGGCTATTTTTGAATGACCAGTTCAAAAACTGACTAACAGTGCTATTTTTACAAATTAATAGCCTAAAATATAAAGTAGATTAACTAGCACAAAATGTTAAAATATATTAAGGAATCATTTGGTTGGGTATTAGGAGATTTAATCTCCACATAAAAATCGACATTACTTCATGCAATGTTTGGTTGGAATTTGAGGAGATCTAATTTTCACATAAAAATCGGCACAAGTTAATACAATGTCTGATTACTCCTTTTTGTTTTCCTAGTAGATAATATATGCATAAGCTACACGATAATCTATATATTATTTTATACAGAATAGAATATGAAATAAAAATTTAGGTATTAGAAATATATTTTGTTTAAGAAGTGAAAAAATATTACAAAACATATATTGTATACTATATGTAATTTACTATCAAATTAAACATTCAACTGGATATAATCATTGCATTATCTAATTCTTATATTATTAATTCTTACATTACAATCTTTGTATTATTGATCTCAACGTCATTTATCTCTAGAATAAACGTGTCACGACCCAAAATTCACTAAGGGTCTCGATGGCACCGGACACCACTGTCAGGCAAGTCAACCAAAATACTTAATTAAATTCTCGTTTTAATAATTTTGAAAACTATGATTTTCCTTCAATCTAACTAATAAAAGATAACTGTTTCAAATCAAATATGAATGTAAAGCAGTTAATACAAGATACCCCATAATTATCCTAGAACCCAGTGTCACAAGTGCATGAGCATTTACTAGGGAATGAAGTAAAATACAGTAACTGTCCGGAATACAAGTGGACAGAAAAGAAAATACAGTACAATACTCTGAAGGAGACTCGGTTGGCTGCGGGTCGTCTCGATAATTGCAGCTCACCCAAGTCTCCATATCAACCATACCGCTATGCCACTAAGCCACTAGCCACATATGAACCTGTGCAATAAAAATGCACAGCAAGTGTAGTATGAGTACAAAAACAACGTGTACTCAATGAGTATCCCGTCTAGTCTCGAAGAAGTAGAGACAAGAGGTCGACTTCGACACTTGCTAGTAGTCCAATAGTAATATTATTAATGCGACGAATCACAGATTTATTAAGAACAACAGTAAATTCAAATAAGTAACGAAACAGGTAAGAGTTCCTTTTTATTAAAAGTCTCCGGATTCATAATCCATTAATTAACAATTATCTCAAGTCGGGGAGAGCAAATATCAATATCAATAACTCTCAAGGCAAGCAATACGAGCATACGCAAATCATGCCGAGGTCGTACGGCCCGATCCAGCATAAATGTAAAATGTGCACTGCCGAGGGTCGAACGGCGCGAACCATAGATGTATCTATTACCCCGCTCTTGAATCATACATGCGACGCGGTCAAATTTAAATAAACAATCACTCTGCTCGCGAATCATACATGCGACGCAAGTACACATAGAAATACATGCTCAAACAGCCAATTAAGAATTTATCGGGAACATTTATCCAAATAAAAGTCAATTCTCTTTTAGCGATTTAAGAAAATGAAGTTTATTCCTTTTAGAAATTCATTTACCAATTCAATAGGATTTAAGCAATTCAACTGCCAACAAGATTACAGATATTCCAAGTATAGCATACTTTTGGGTCCTAGACTACCCAGACTTACATATAATAGTAGTTACGCACGGACTCTATATAATGGCCACAATGGTCACAGTGTACATGGTGTGATAAAAATTAAAAAAAAAATTTAAATAAATAATCCCCAAGCAAGAAACTGGGGCAAGGGTTGCGCTTGTGGTAAGCAAAATTGGTTCCGAAGGTTGTAATTTTGAACCTCAAATTGATTTGTTTTTGAGCCTTTAATACCCTTTCTTTCTAGCCTGTCCAAAAACCCACATTACGGTCCAAAGAAAGACCTTCTGACCGGTCTGCAAAAGATGCCAAGTCAGACAAATGAGAGTCTTACCAGCGAACATAACATTCTGTTCTACAGCAGAAAGGACTCTATTCCCCAGCAGAAAGAGTCATACCGGCAACACTCCAAATCCCCAGCTGGAAAGTGATATAAATGAGAGAGTCTTAT